ATTGGTATGAACTAACCGCACATATATAGAATGCAGTCAGAATATATGGATGAATGAAATCTTTATTTTGAACATTTAAGTATCAAATGTTAATAACTGAAAGAAACTCACACAAGAACAAAATAAAAGACAAGTATTATATTATTGTGATGAAACCCCATTGACTGAAATCCCCCAAATATCTACCATTTCCTGTTCACTTCCTTGCCCCCTATTTAATTTATCATATATTTGTGTTCCTGATTATATAGCCTAATATTTACATATGCACTAGCTATAAATACATATACATATCTAAACACAGTCTCTTTCTACATGAATATATACATATTCATGCTGTGATCCATGATTATATATCTGCACCTATCTAAAAATATAGTTTTTTATATACAATTACCCATAATAATTTTACAATGCAGCCATTATATCAAACTGCAGTCAGAATATCCAGTCAGTGTCACAACATAGAATTTAATATTTAACACATTGCTTCATCCACATAATGCTCTATATTTTTATAACCCTTCTTCTCTTCTAAAATATTAAATATTAAGTAAGGCAGTTTGTTTACAAAATAAACATTTATTATTTGCATCTAGATGGCAGACATGGTCTGAAAAGTCTGCCGAGAAATCTGAAAACTTGATTGTGGAAAAGTGTGACATTTTGAAACATGTAGAAACACTGCTCATAGGAAACTGATTAACTGACCCTTTGCCAAAGCAGTATGTGCCAATGCTGTCCTTTTATGAGATTGAAAACACAGTTGGAGTTCATGTCATCCAAACATAAGAGAATATCTGAGACGTATGAATCAAGTCTTTCGGTGTTGATTGGACACCAGCAGGTACAGTGATAGATGGCATGGAGCTGCAAATCACTCTTGCCTCAGCATAAACAGTCCTTAATCAGACACCAACTGTCACACTGAAGTTCTTCTCTACGTACCTGCAGCCACCCACAAATTTGTTGTAAGGCATGAAAATTGTTTGACATTGCTTTAAACACTAATGCGTGAACACTTCTATATATACACTACAGCAGGGGCCCCCAATCCCAGTCCACGAGGGCCGGTGTCCCTGCAGGTTTTAGATGTGTCCTTGATCCATTACAGCTGATTTAAATGGATAAATTACCTTCTCATCATGTCTTGAAGTTCTCCAGAGGCCTTGTAATGAGCTAATCATGTGATTCTGGTGTGTTGACCCAGGGTGAGATCTAAAACCTACAGGGACACCGGCCCTCGTGGACTGAGATTTTTGTGTTTGTTTGACAGCCACTCTGGTTGTAAACAGTAATGCACTGCCTTGTGGAGAGACTGGAAAAGATTACTGTGCAACATTGCCAATAAATGGCTGACACTAACATAAATGTTTGACCTTTACGAAGTTGAAAGGAAGTGATATCTTGATGCGCTTGTGTGCTATTAAATTATGCAGGACATTTCAGAATAAACTTCTCTATATCAGTCTGGTCTGCCGATTCAGTAAGTGAATAATGAATGAGGGGCGCCTCCAGAAGGAAATGTGTCCTATACCACGTAGGGTTCGTGCTTTCCTCGGACAAATGCATTGATTTGTCGCCCCTGTAGGCCTCCGACAAGACTACGCCTCTACCTCAGCCACAGCCACGGCCAGCCGTCGCAGCTCCAGCTTCTCCTTGCACACCCTCAGGCGCAGTCAGATGGATCTCGAGGAGGAGGACGAGGAGGACGAGGGTTACGACCAGCTCCCACCTCCCCAGCCTCGACTGTTCCGCACAGGCTCTATGCAGCGGGGCAGCCTGCCCCACTCTCACACCTTCTCCAGTTTCAGAGACTGCAGACGCAGCTCAACCACCCATCAGTTTTCACTCAGTGGACACTCCCAGTACTCTGGACCCTCTAGCCTGATCACAGAGACACAAACAGCATACACAAATAGCACAGGTGAGTGACCTGATCTGATCTGGGAACATGTCTGATAGAGGACTGTTAAAAACTCAGTGATCAGTCAGTATCTTTGGACTTCCAGTAGACCACACTTCTTGTTCTATCAGCATGTCAATCTTTATAAATGCTGAAGAGATTTTAAAATCTGATAAATGTTAATCAGGTGATAGTTAAGTGTTTCAAGATTGCATTTCAGCAAATGCAATCATTTTGCTCTTCACACACTGTTTATCTGCATGCAACCAAGGCCCGCTCAGATGTAATTAGACTAAAAGAGGAATGCAAACAGAAAGCTATTAAAGCACAGTTGTCCCTTCTCTACAGATTGCGTGTCTTTATATGCAGATATCAGTCTATAGAGATAACTGCATGACTGTCTAAGACTGATACTGCTGTTACTTTAAGGAGCAAGTATTAGACTTTCCCCCTCTTTAAAGTCCTAAGTTCAATTAAGTCAGTATAGATAAAAGAATAGTGCAACATTTTGAGTGGACCACAAGAAAAGATTCATTCATTAATGGATATGACGTGTCATTCTGCTTAAATTTAAAGTGTAAAACTAAGATGTGTTTCTACAGGAGAAAATGCTATGTATTAAATATTTGCTAAAAGCGCTTACTTTCATATTCACCAAAATGTCCCCTAAAAAATCCTAAAACTTTGAAAAGCCCAAAAAAAAAAATGCTAACTGGGCACCTGCAATACCTGATCAGCTTTGTTGATGTTGTTGCATAGACAAGCTGCGAAGAAGCATGCCCAACCTGATCCGAGCTCCCAGCATGCCTAGTGTCCCCAGCATTCCATGCCTGGCTTCCCCTGTCAACCCACCCTCCCACGGTCCCTCCTCTTTGCCAACGATGCCCTCCCTCCGGAACAGCCAGAGCTTTGACTCATCGAGTGGGCTTGCACGACTTCAATCCTCCAGTAAGACGCCTGTTTTTATGTGTGCGAATGATCAAAGAAAGGAAAAAATCACTTTTATAAACTGTTAACGCTCAGCCTAATGATGGCAACTAAAAATCTAGGGATTGCAGTGACACTTTTGCTTCACAATATTCCTTCAGTTCCTTCCCCAGGCCAGCTCAGTCAGCGAGTCCAGAGTGTCGGGAGTTTCCCTACAACAGCGCGACACACTCTAAAAGCGACAGCCTACGTAAGCCCCACAGTCCAGCAGGGACCCACCTCCACCTCTCTGTCCACCTCTGCCAGTCTGAACTCCATCTCCAGCAGTGCCGCGCTGCCTCAACCCCTCAAACCCAGCAGCAGCATTAGTTTGCTGCCACAGGCCCTCAAACCCACCAGCACCAACCAGTCAGCTGTCCCCCGCAGTTCCCTCCCTCGGCCAGCCTCCTTCATAGGAACAAGTGGCGTTCCACGTCCCAGTAAAATCACCCAACCCACGCGCAGGTAAGCACACATATGCTAACTCCTTTGGGTTTAAAGGAGAACTACAACAACATGAGTACTGACGAGCATGTGCAAAAAGGCACTTGATAACTTCAAATTTAGACCTGATGAGAAGGTTATCTCAGGGGATCACCAGAGGTGGTAAAATTCATCCTCTGATGACAGTAAAAAAATAATTTTCTGAGCCATGAATTGGTTAATCAATTGAAGTATATGATGACAAACCTGGTCAGACTATTAGTGTTTTCAGCATGTGGGTGAGTGGTAATGTAGCAATCTTTAGGTGTGGCATCGGTGGTTCAATGGTAGAATTCTCACCTACCACACTGGATTCACAGGTCTGATTCCTGAAACTTTTAAAAGAAACAGACAAGATTCTTTGTGGGATGATGGATCTTTTTATTTATCTTTGATTAACTTATATGCTTATATAATATTGGGTTTTTTTCTGTCTGCAGTTTGCTTACTCCTCCAAAGAGCCTGGCTGCTCTGAGTGCCCTGAGGGACGGCAGCTGGAAAGATGGCTGCTACTGAACCCAAATAAGCTGAAATTTGAGAGGTGCACAGGGTATCGCTGTGTAGGCACCAGCTGATTTAAAATGTCTCTTTCAGCAGGTCTCTAGACTTGGGCTGCGACCTGTGAGAGTGACAGATATCATGAATATAAGCACTACTCCTTGCTGAAGGACAAAGTGAGGACTGTTGAGCGTGCAGGTCCAGCAGGCTGGATCTTAACCTTGACTTGACACACCATGAAACAACCAGGCAATACTCTGATAATCAGCTGTTAAATGTGAAACAGATCCTCTCTGATATGTGTTTCTTGGTTTGTCGTTGTTAATTCTTGCATTGAGCAGAATAAACGTCTCTCTCCAACCGAAAGCTTAGAAAAATATATCCCATGCTTTTGTACATGCTTTTAATGATTTCATATGATTAGTTTCGGAAGTACTATTTTTTTCAGGCTGTGGTGTCAGATATGAAGTTGAACCTGAAGTTGGAATTTTGTTACTTCCCGTGCCTGTAAAAAAAAAAAGTGAAAAAGAAGAAGAAGTAATGTAATTTATGTTAGTTATACTTATTGGCTGGACCTTGCAGCACTTTGGATCAGAATTCTGATTAACACATTCAGTATTAGATCCATTAATGACCTTGTACACACTTTATCTTTTGTTTAGTTTCTTTTTATTTAATGTTTACATTCAATTCCGAAATGTTCTTTGATAAGCGTAACTGCTGCAGTGATATTGCACAAGGAGCCCTCATGCTTTTAATGGATGGCAAGAAATTAAAGAGGAAGTGAATTTTTAAAGTGAATAAAAGCATTTCAAAACGTTTTTTCATTCTTCTTCATTAAAATTGTTTGTAAAGAATCGAGGGGGAAAATAGGTAAATTGCAAAAGGGGAAAGGGATTGCAGCCAGTGATGAGCTGTGGAAACCCTACCAGGAGCATGTTGCCCACGAAGGCATAACTATAGGCTCTCTAGGACACAGAAACGCCTCAATTCTTTTTGTTTTTATGTCTGAACGCCTCCAGTTGTTTTGAGCATCTCCCACTAGTACGAGATGCCTGAGCAGACCAAGGAAATTATGTCTCCTGGCTGGTTTGGGAACAGGTGGCTGGGGACTTAGACTTCTGCCCCCCATGACCTGGCCATCGAAAAGTTGCGAAGGGATGGATGAATGGGGAGTTGTAGCTCTACTTACTGCAGTTCAAACTCTATGCCTTCTTTAACTCAGATATGACTCAGCTTAAAAGCATTTGGAGTAATGGTGGTCTAAGGGTGAAACCATATTCCTGTATTCTTCCCTAGTAAAAATACAATACTAAACCAAGTTCAGTCCTATATTCCTTCAAGTGTAAAGTATATCTGAATGCTAATATCGCTGATATTATGGAAGCTACTGCTCAAAAAATAAATGTAGAATTCAGTTTTAGCACATTACAGTTAGGGGGTTTTGAGGTTTTGGAAGATTCACTGTGGCAGCTGTTAGTGTCACAAGGTGGTCACAAAGTGACTAATGTTTAACAAGTGAGTATGTTGATTTTAAATCTCCAGAGTAACACTCAAACACGCCCTACTTTAACATACTGTACCTCAGGAAAGGTGACTAAAATCTCTTATCTTTTATCTTTTGCGCAAAATCATTAAACCAGACCTGAAGACAGATATTGAGTGCACAGTGCTGACCTTTTGGAGTTTTTGATAATGCCCAACAAAGCCCAGGAGGTATGTCTAATCTGCTTTCTTCTGCACTTTTGCGCAGATCATTTATACTAGATCGTTTTTCTCAATGGAATCCCCCTCCCCTCTTTTTTATTTTTTTTTTGCCTACAGGATGCTGTGATCAATCTAAAGACGCTGCAGGAGATTTCCAGGCAGCTTGGTTTTGAGTGGACAGTTTTGGCATATGAGCTTGGCTTCAACAGAACTGAGATAGGACGCTTCCACGCCAGCTCTACAGAGAAGAGTGTCCAGGCCAAGGCCATGCTGGAAAGCTGGTAAAGTCTGTGTGTATACTTTTGAAAGTAGCATGTGCTTTGTTTAGAAACTGGTGTTTCTAAATCAAAAGGCAACATCTGTTTATCTTAGCAGTGTTTAGTCCAATTTTATACGTCATCTGAAATCATTGTAGTCTTAAGAAATTGAAGCAGATGCCCAGCAATCTCATGTGAGAAACTTAAATAACTTATTTGTGTTTTATCATGGTCACTTGGGCTCTCTAGACACTCTGTCACTTTTATACAGTTCTCTTTTTTTTGGCTTTTTATACATCAGTGAATTTCTCTTCTTTCCATGAAATACTTTTTAGAGGTCCCTCTTTATTTGCAGGTACGAGAAGTCATGGGACAAGCCAAATAAGACCAAGCTGCTGCAAGACGGACTGGAACGAGCTGGCAGACGGGACCTGGCTGAGAGACTGCATTGCCTTCACTGGGGTCACCAGAAACTGAGTCAAAGGGTGGAGCTTCCCTCTGCCTTCCCCTTCCTCATCACAGTCCACAGGACCATCGACAACCGAGACGCACTACGTAAAATCAACGACCTAAGTCGTAGATTCACTTAAACCTGGGTGAAAACGCAAGTAGCTGTGGCTATGTCTGTAATTTGTGTTCTACATGTGCATATGTGATACTGCAAAGAAGCAAATGGACTCAGAGTCAATTAACCAACAAATCATGATATATGCTACTTTTTGTAGTGCAAGAAATTAAAGCTTTGCAATAAGGATAAAGGCTGTCTTTGGAATCCTAAATAAACTTTTGATTTCAAAAAGTTTATTTATTTTAATTGATGTACAAACGACAAAGGTCAAGACAGTTTATGTGGATCAACTGTGTATATATGTTGTTATAGTTGGCTACAAAGAGCACAGGTGTAAATGGAAAAGTCTGTAGTAAGGTATGGCTGATGGGACCATTTTAAGGAGAGATAATTATTGGTGGATATGTATACTGCATTTAAACAAACATCTGACCATAAAGGGCCAATATGCACATGTGGCTGAATGATGCATATACTAAACTGCAGTGCAAGGGACATGATTTTTTAATGATGGTATGAATCCATATATTTCATATTTTTTATGCATAGTGTCTGGCTGTCACATATACCACAGAGAAGAAGCTCTAATGTGTTACAGCAAATCAAATAAATAGCCCATGCCAGACTATAGAGACTTCAGTATTAATCATAAATGGGGTTTGGGGAGTTATTAAGCATTAAATTAAAATATTATAGTTTTATAGTGGCAATATGTGCTGGACAACTATCTAACTGAGAGCAGGGACTCATAAAACACATTTATTGATTCACGCTGAGAGTTGGATGAAAGGATGACACCACAGATGATGATACCGCCTTCACCTCAGCTTAATAATCTATTATCTATTTTTAGAATTTAGTTTACTAAACTTCTATTAGTTAGTTTATTAACTAATTAACACACACACACACACGTAGAAAAATATTTAGTATACACATCCAGAAATGCATATACTATTATATATTGTACATATATTTATTAGTTTCAGATGTAGCCATTCTTGTATTTTGCTTGTTTACATTATTGTATTTTGCACAACTCTGTTGCTTGTGAAGCTCGCACACAAGAATTTCACTCACATGTGCTGTACCAATGTACCTGCACATGTGATGTGACAATAAAAGTGATTTGATTTGATTTGATTTGATTATTATCTGAGGACAAAATGTAAAATTTGACTGTAAAAGGATTACATTAATAATTTTGCTTAAAGGCAGTAAGGACTGAGACCACGTGAGCAATTAGAAATAATACATAAGGATTAATTGAAGATATGGTAATGATATAAAAATGAAATAACACAATTACATAAAAATACAAATAAACATATAAGAAATATAGATATATTAAGATTATTACAAAATAGTATTAGTTTCTAAAAATATATATATAACACAATTATATAAAAATACAAGTAAACACAAAAGACATAGAGGTCCATTGTTTAATTTCCAGAATTATCCGCTTTAGCAAAGGGGAAAGTAGTGGGAGGAACCATATTATGTTCCAATCAATCAAATTCAGTTGACCCAGTTGCACAAACCAATCAGAGGGCACTCTTTTTTAAGCAAGGTTGTATGAGTGCGCAACGAGCCAGTGTGGAAGTTAATCAAAGAAGCCTTCAAAATAAGATTTTTTAAATTTGTTTAATTTGATTTAAAATACTAATTTGCGTATTTTAAAATGAGATTCGTGGTCAAAATAGAATATTAAAACCCACCCAGAGCGTATAGCACTGCTTAAAAAGATGAACTAAAAGAACGCGCGATATCTATACGTACAACTGTACTTTATTGTGGAAGTTCTTCTCGGAATATGTAGCTCAAAACCTGGCCGTGTTGACGTTTGTGCCAGCTGCTACACTCAAAACAGAAAACAGCAACGAGGAGGAATTTAGTGAAAATGAACGTTATCGGTAAAGCAGCTCCTTGGAAGTGGTGTGCGGGTCTTTTTCTACTTTGACCGTGACATTATGCTCATTTACAGGCCGACAGCTGCCGGATTTCAGACATCCCGGCGATCGTTCAGCTGTTAAATCGCTGTTGCATTTATCCACACTGCTTATGTTTGATTTTCACGTGTAAACGGACGTGTCATTATCAGAGCTCGGGGAACTTGGCGTTACCGAGCATGTTTACCGCGTCACACGGTGCTTTTTGAAACACTGGCCGACGTGAAATAGCTAACTAATCGCTTAAGTTGCAACAATGGCCTCGGCGCTGAGTTGCTTCAGTGGTCCCGAGGTGCTGGAGGACGCCAATCACGCTCGGGGTTTGATGAACGGGTTGAAGTTGCTTTACGATTGCCGGCTGCTCGGGGACGTTACTATCGGAGTTGAGTATGAAGAGGAGTCTTTGGAGCACAGCGGCAACCCCACCAGAGGTGCCATCGACCAACTTTTCTTCTGCAGCCGCAACGTCCTGGCAGCTGCTAGCCCCTACTTCAAAGGCATGTTCACCGGTGGGTTAAACGAGAGCGTGCAGGAAACTGTGGTCATCCGTGGGGTCGATCCTGAGTCTATGTCCGTCATCATCGATTACTGCTACACGGGCAGGGTGACCATCACGGAGAGTAACGTGCAGAGGCTGTATGCAGCGGCCAACATGCTCCAGCTGGAGTACATCAGGAAAGCTTGCTCCAGTTTCATGACAAGGAGACTGGACTTGTCTAACTGTGTGGGGGTACTGAAATTTGCTGACACCTATGATAACCCCGAGCTGAAGGAGAATGCGCAAGCTTTCATTGCCAGGAACTTCGGCCTGGTGTGTAATGGGGGGGATCTTTGCGAGCTGGACCTGAAGCAGCTGAAGGAGTTGCTGTCTCTGGACACCCTGGATGTGGATTGTGAGAAGAAGGTGTGCTCGGCTGCTCTGCAGTGGATCGAGGTGAACGCAGCACAGAAAAAAGAGGATGCGCTGCAAGCACTAAAGTGTGTCCGCTGGAACTTGTTCACTGAGAAGGACAAGTGTTACCTGGAGAGCCTCATGGCAAGGCCTTTCATTGAGAAATACCTGGCATCATTTTTTAACAAGTCCCCCGAGGACGGCTGTGTCATGTCTGCTACTCTGGATGTGCCAAAACACAGAATAGGTGTGAGCGCAAAAGAGATGATCCTCTTCTTTGGCCTACCTAATGACAACATAATGTGCTGCGACCCATACTCGGAGGACCTGTACTTCATGGCCCCTCCTTTAGAGGATCTGAGCAGTCAGGATTACAAACGCTCCACCATGGAGTCCTTAATCGCCTGTGCCACCCCTGAAAACAACTTGTACTTGGCGTCCCACCTCTCGAAACACTTCTGGCTTTACAACCCTGTGCTCAACAGCTGGCAGGAGTTGGCAGAGAGGCCACTGGGCAGAATACATTCTGGAATGGGCTACCTCAACGGGCATGTGTACCTTCTGGGAGGAAGAAACCCGGTGACGGATGCCAGACTGAAGGAGGTGGAGTGTTACAGCGTCCAGAGGAACCAGTGGACGTTTGTGGCTCCTCTGCCTCATTCTCTGGGTAAAATGCAGGTGGTAGCCCTACATGACCACTTGTACGTGGTGAACAAAAGGCGAATGCTTTGCTACGATCCCAAGAGGAACCGCTGGCGCCACTGTGGGTCGCTGAGGCGAGACAAGCTTCACAAGGCCTGTGTGTTCCAGGACCAGATTGTCTGTGTGTGCGACATCCCTGTGGTGAAAGCCTACAGCCCCACTAGGGGTGAGTGGAAGAGGCTCGGCGACATTCCCATCGACAGCCGAGCTCTAAATTATCAGGTGATCCAACACAACGGCAAGCTGCTCCTCCTCACTCAGACTTTACTGCAGCACAACAAGAACAGAGTCCTCATCCACGAGTACGACCCGGCCAGGGACACGTGGAAGAATATCATGGCGGTGTACGTGTCCACGCTGGGGCCCGTATGTGTTTCAACGCGTGTTTACCCAGCGTGCCTTAGCTCTGCCCACAGCTTCTCCACAGAGGAGGACGATGACAGTGGCTCCAGTGCAGACTGGGATTTTGATGGGCTGACAGATGCAGATTCAGACTCTGGCAGCTCTAGCTCATTCTCTGATGAGAACTGGTAGTGAAGTGTGTTGCAGTGTCAAAATTAATTAAATTATTGGGTTTTTACAGGTTGGTTTTGTCTAACGGGGAGCATTGAAGTATTTATTCAGTGTTAAAACAGTCAGGAGAAGCACAGGTTGTTAAAAAAATATTTTCATACGTGTGATCAGTAATGTTAATATTGGGATGCATAAAACCAGAGAAAATGTTTACTGTGCCTCTTTCACAGCATTTCTGCTGGGCAAATACAGGGGTTACTAATTGGGAATAATTGCAATAATTGCTGGAACTGAGCCTTCACTTAACGCTGTTACTTCCAACCTTGCTTTTCCTGGTTCAAAAATGTCAGAGAATCTGTGGGACTACACTTGATCCATGTGGAAACAGAGTGTCAGTGAAAGTGCAAGTGAAACAAAAGTTTAAGGAGTAGAAAAGGGGAAAAAAAATTATGGATTAGCAGTAGTGCTTTGCGTCTTTTGCGTGCAACACCTAAAGGTTTCACATGGATGCCACATCTGTAATGCTTTCGTCACATGCTTCCTGAGGCCCTTCTCTCCTAGCTCGTAGAGCCTGTGAGAGATTTGTCCACGTCAAACTCGAGCTGAGATATTCGAGTGATGTCGCTTGACAAAGCTGTACCAGAAAGCTACAGAAGAACCTAAAGCTCTACGAATGTGCCCACTAGTACTCCTAAGTGGAGAGCCGCTGTTAAGCTTTAACATTATGTTACATGAAGAGTTATTTGGGTAAGCCTTTTCTCTTTAGAGTGAATAAATGAGCATGCAAGCTTAAGATCAGCGTGAAATCATGGCTTGAGTGTTTGTCATATCAGACATCTCAAGTGCCTCTTGTTTATGACTATGAACGAACTGGTTATGAACTGGGCTTTAAAATTTATGGTCCTTTTTATGTAGTTGATGCACACAGCGACATCACACACACACACGGGCGGTGCTCCAAAAACTGCTGCGTGAAGTCTAGGAGCCAATGTACTGTACACTCTCTCAGGTTTAGCCCATTTGCGATGACAGAGGTTCCTTTTTAGATGTAGTGCGATCACAATGTTTTGGTGACAAATGGTTTTGTTTGAAATCACAGAGTGTATGTGTGTGTTTTCTTATCTATACTTTATTTTTAATGTGTGTGTTGCAACAGTTTTTTTGGGGGGGAGGGGTTTTGAGTATTGCTTGGGTGTGATGATTTATCTGCTTGCCAGAAGACTGCAGAGAAGCCATTGTCCCAGCCAAGCAACCCCTACGCTATTTGCACTTACTGAGATAAATGGTGGAGATAAAATATTACATATCCTCATCAGCAGAATAATGAATCACACAAAAACAATGACCATAAAGTTGAGTCAGCACCTCTGAAAACACTGAAGAGTATAATCATGAGTGACTCTTAGTCAGGGGTTTTTATCAAGCAGTTTTGGGAGTAAAGGGGGAGGAACTGTGGGTAATGACATGCAGCGAAGGCATGGTAGAAATAGAGCTGCTGGTTCCAGAGCTGGGTTTACAAAATAAACTGTTAAAATAGTGGAGTCCCGACTGTCTCTCTGATGAATAATGAAGTTTCTTGAAGTAGATGGGGTGCTTGGCTGTGGATTATAAAGCTGTTTTTGGTAAATGTGTCAAATAAACATCAGTGTATGCTGCAGAGTTACAAGTGTGTGTAGTGCTGAGTTTTACAGAAGTCGTATTTATTGCCACTGCGTGGTGAAACTGGAAGGTTTGGATTCTGAAGAGTGTTCTTGTGAGTATTGTGAGTTTAATATGGTGCAAAACAGAAACATGGTTCTAATTCTAGGAGGATTGAGTTTTAATAGAAAAATGTGTCATTAATGAAACTAATGGTAATACTTTTTTTTTATGAGACATTCATGATGTGTTGACTGATTGAATTGCTACAGAAAAGCAGAATGATTTTTTTTTTTTTAAATAAAAAATCTTATGTTTGTATTTATTTGAGACTGTCTCTGTTTAATGGATTTCCATTGTTAGATGTTCTCTTTGTTTTGTAAGTTGTACAAATTTGTATGAGGTTAATATATTTGTGCTCTTGGAGGATACCTACTGAAGTGTTTGTGGTTGAGTGATATGTCTGTATGTAAATAAGTATAATAGCATACATGATTTTAAAAATAAAAATTTATAGATTTAAAAAAAACTTTTCTGAAATATTTTGTACTGACTGTGCTGAAGTCTTGATCCACCCCTCATTTCTTTTTTCCAAGTAGTTAGACTTTCTAGTCTCTTTTTTTTTGTAAGTGTTTTTTCTAAGAAATAGCGGAGGGTGGGTTGTTGCTGTTCCTTGAAGGCAAATCGGGATTGGAGAGATTGGCTGCCATGAGGTCATTCTCAAGGAGAGGAAACAGAAAAAAAATCGACACAACTGTGCTGTCATTTTTGTGTATGGCCAAATGACATAAAACCTGGACTGAAAATCTGTGTCTTGCGAAGTGATGGATCCAAATTTGACATTTCTCACTCAAGTCATCATAAATATTTACAGAGGAGATCAGGAGAGAGGTATGACAGTGAGCATCTACATGCATCTCCAAAACACAGTGGAGGCTCTAAACTGGGGCTGTACTTCAGCCAGCGGTGTTGGGGGTCTAGTCAAAACTCATGAAAGTAATTATGACTGCAGTAAAGCACCATCAGATTTTTATTGGAAAGTATCTGAAATACTGACTTTCAGACTTGAATTCGTCTATTTTTTTATTTTTATTTTACCACTTATTCAATTCAAAATAGGATACAACCCCCCCCCCCCCCCCCCCCCCCCCCCCCACGAATAATTCAAAAGAAAGGAAAGGGGAAAATAATCTCTAACCATATTCCACGTTACATTTTTTAATTGTTCTTTTCCTCTAGCAAGTTCTCTATCGGATCTCTACAGAATAATGTGTACAGCTAAATAACACAAGAATTTGATGAATTGCTTGTATTCTGCACGTAGCCTACAGCTACATTTAAGTACATAGGTTCAAAGGTACTCTCCTTTGGAGTCTCGCGATATTTCAGAGCTGTAGCGCCGTCCAGACCGCGAGAAGATGAGCAATGGCAATAGAAAACAAACCTGGGGAGGAATTTGACACAATTTTCAGTCGAAACGATTCCCTGGAGCTCTCCTCTCACCACGAATACGACACTACACACGCTCGGATTTTCAAGATAATAGTAATAGGAGACTCAAATGTGGGGAAGACGTGTTTGACCTACCGGTTCTGCGGGGGCACTTTCCTGAAAAACCCTGAGGCAACTATCGGGGTCGATTTCAGAGAGAGGACGCTGGAGCTGGACGGAGAGAGTATCAAGGTGAGAAGTCCTACATTTCAAGAAAGGCACACGGCAGATACCTGTGAACGTTCACTGTTTTTTTGGCTATGTTAGGTTTATAGGTCAGCTCACAGAGCCTGACCTGGAGTCTGTTTTCAGCCTGTAGGCATGTGATGGAGCTTACTTTGACCAGTTGTTAAAATGAAGGCTTTGTCACCCCTATGAGGCCATTGTCATTGTTCACAAGAAAGGGAATAACGAAACTTGGTGTAAAGCCAGTTCATAGTCATTTCTGTTCTTCCACATATAAGTGTTTATCTTCATTCTATCCTCATTTGCCTGGAGATTTCCCCCCTTTTTACGAGCTTCCAGTCAAAGTGAAACAGATCATGCCCCAGTCTGATGAAGTGATCCAGATGCAACACAATAACAGGTCACCCAAGTAGATTTTTAATAGTTTTTCCCGCAAATTTAAACCCATTTTTTGGAGATGCTGTCAAAAAAGGTCTATTTTGGAGCACTTTCCACAGCAGACAATTTGACTCATCACAGTGGGAACATGCAGTCTATAATAATGACACTAATGTTAGCTCTGTCTGTCGGTGTTTCAGTAAACCATGACAGTGAGTGAGTAAAAGGCAGTGAGCCAGGATGCACATTACCCGATTGCCGATAAAAGGAATTCAGCCATCTCTGGTTTAATAATTTAAACTTCAGGTTCTCCTTCTGTAAGATGCCCAAGTGTCTGCTGCAAAAATGCCCTAACTATCCTAACTTAACCAACATTTGTTTGAGCAAGTGCAAAAATCCAGTCTGTGGTGATAATGTATAGCTTATTCTGCTGTGCAGTATCCTTCCATTGTTTCCCTGAAGCTGCTAAAACTTTGTTTTGAAAAAAAAAAATCAAGATGCATCATGCTGAATCATTAAGAAAAAACCAGTATTTAACTCTGCAGAAATAGAGATGTATATTTACACACACACACACATAAAGCATATGTAGTAAGAACAAACGTTGAAGGTTGGAGCTGAGCAGCATAAACAAAATAGGGAAGCTGGAATGACGCTTTGCTGCCTCCTATTGAACTGGCTGGCAAAAGCACAAATATAAAATAACACTGGCCATATGCTTTAAATAGGACTCTGTGGCATCATTTTTTTCTGCTGTGCTAGTTACAGATTTGGGACACAGCAGGTCAGGAGCGCTTCAGGAAGAGCATGGTGGAGCACTACTACCGCAGCGTCCACGCTGTCATCTTTGTGTACGACGTGACCAGCCTTTCTTCCTTCGAGAGCATCCCCGAGTGGATTCAGGAGTGTAGCCGGCACTCCGTGGGGCCCCTTGTGCCCCGCATCATGGTAGGAAACAAGTGTGACCTGAGGGACCGCCGGGAGGTTCCCACATCAGCCGCACAGTGTCTCGCTGACAGCTACAACTTCCCACTGTTTGAGACTTCAGCCAAGGACCCATCTGAGAAGGAAAACGTGGATGCTATCTTTCTGACTTTAGCTTACAGACTGAAGAGCCACAAACCCCTGAGACTAAAGCAACCCAGTGAGAGCAATTTGAGGCAAATGTGGAACCAGAGAGAGCGGGAAGCAGCAACTTGTCAATGCTGAGGTCACCTACATCCTCCATGGATGTACTTGGATTATTTAATACTATAATGGCAGTCCTTCAGGAGTGTGCTGAGAAAAGCAGATTTCAACAACACGAGGCTTAAAATTTACAAAGCACTCTCAAATCAGTTAGCTAGAAATGATAGAAGCTTGGCAAGATTTTACAATTTTCCCTGCCTGGTATGAGGCACAGCTAAATTAAATAAACAAGTCCGTAAAATGCATGAATGCATATGGAGGTATGCTGAGTATTTGTAGCCCAAACTGCACTTCGATCGCCGAGTCTGCAAACTGAAGATTGCAGAGCGCACTTTAGTGGATGCATGATCATAAATGATATGCAGCCGTCGTCAGTACAGCAACATTACTGCACTACAATGTATCTGCAGCTCTCAATGCAATTAAAAGACAAACTTAATGAAGAGAAAATTTGATTTTTTTTGTGTGTGTGTAAAGGGACCAATAAGATATGCTGATACTGTGACAAACACTGCAATTGTGCAATTGCAATTGAAGTGATATTTTAGTTCTTAAAAGTGCAGTGTGAGACTTGGTGCTGTTATTGAATGTATTTGTGTCAGCTCATGCACATGGAGAGCTGTCTGGAAAGAAAGCTCAAGAACACAAGGGATAAAATATAGCTGCTCCACATAGTTCACTTGAAAAGCATGCCGAAAAAGAAACTCAGTGGATCTGAGGAAAAACACCACAGCTGACTGTTTCATTTGTTGCATGTATACAATAATAATAATACACTGTACAGATGCAAATCAATAAAAGTGGTTGTTTCAGTGTCATCTTTTCCGAATGTTTCTGGTGTTGTTTGCCACTCGAAGTGTAATGTCACTGCTCTGTCAGTTATTGCTTCACAGCAATTATTTTTCATTTTAATTCATGACCTGTAGACAATCTAGATCCACTTTAATTTCTGCTAAGGAAAAAAAAGTCTCACTTAATCACCTGAAAAGGATCGTGTTACATGATTAAAAGTTCCAAAACTACAGCTACAAGCTTTGTAGTGAAATTAAAGACGATATCTTGCAGTATTTGACACGTTAGCGGCGACCAGTGGCAGACTTGTGCACGACATAGTTCTTGATAAATTAGCGAAAACATGTAAAATGGCAAATCCGTCACTTGTAGCTAATTTTGTAGTTATACATAGAATACATCTAACACATTTAGGCCTTACTAGGTTAGATTAATACGATCACAGGTCGGCAGCTGAGTTGCTTTCATCGGCGACGTCTAGGGTGTCACATTTACCAGCCTGCAGCAAATCCGTGAAAGCAGCACGGCAAAAAGCTGTTTGTATTCCTCGCGCGGCGTCTCTCCGCGGCCATGGTAACACTGTCCTCAATGCTGGACATCTGATTAAAAACATACAAGCGAGGGCTTTTCATACAGGTATGAGATTTTTTTTTTCTGTGAACACGCAATTAAAATTTAATTTAGCTCGTCGTGAGTGTGTTTGTCTACGGGAAATTTGAACGCAAGCTGGGAGGATTAAGTACCGTTTGGGTTATTGGCACAGGATTCGTTTTGTTTTCTCGTCTGTGGCCTAGTAGCAAGCTAGCAAAGGGCTAACGCCGGTAATATTATAGGGTGTGTTAAAAAAGAAGCTGATTTGAACAGAGGTTTCATTTAGTAATCAGGTAAAGCGCCCCGGGCAAATGTGTTCATTCAAAACCGACATCAGCTAGCTTAACTAACGTGCTTTACCGGGTGTAGCCGTTTCTGAGTTATCTGATGGGCAGCCGACATTCAAGGAGCTGCCCCATCTTGTTATGAGATTCGGTTATAATGAGGACACTTAATAATAATAATAATAATAATAATAATAATAAAAGGAAGAAAATGTGGAGGCTTTAGATTGAAACACTGAACTAGCATTAACCTTTGAACTCTTACTGTTTCACTAATCAGGTCATGCAATTGCTTGTTTCTTTTTTCCATGTAGCTGTTATAAATCATGAATCTTGCAGAAATATGTGACAACGCCAAGAAGGGCCGTGAGTACGCCTTGCTTGGGAACTATGACTCCTCCATTGTGTACTACCAGGGCGTCATTCCACAGATCCACAAGCACTGTCAGTCCCTCAGAGACCCTGCACTTATAGTCAGATGGCAACAGGTGAGTCCCCTGGTATATTAGTTACTGAACCTGAGACTTCAGTTCAACTGTACGTAGGACTTAATCCTGGATGAAAAGCTTTCCTTTGATGTCAAAGGCTGTTTTTTTTTGTTTGTTTGTTTTTTTTTTGTTTAAGGTGCATTATTTTAAGAAAGTTTTCATTTGTGTAATTTCTCAGGTTTGTTCCGATCTATTAGCTTGGTCGTCTCTGGTGGACAAAACACATGTAAAAGCATTCTGTAATGTTGCTGGTGTAAATGCAGAGACATTGTAAGAGAGAAGCACGGCAGTCAAAGAATCCTGAATTTAAAACTAACTACCCAAATTGTTACACACACACACGCACACACACACACACACGCACGTGTATGTATGTATGTGTGTGTGTGTGTGTGTGTGTGTGTGTATGTATATATATATATATATATATATATATATATATATATATATATATATGGCGTGTGTGTGTGTGTATATTGTGTTTTACGCCCTGCTTCATGAAGGAGTTTTTTTTTGTTTTGTTTTTTTTGGCCTAACATTGTGCATTGTTTCGTTTTTGGGTTTTTTTGTATGTTTTTGTTAGTTCAGCTGCTGTATTTTCAGCTGGATGGTCAGTGATGCAGTGCACCTCTTCCCTTTGTTTCCAGCTTAGTAAGCAACTGACTGAGGAGTACGAGCAAGTGAAAAGTATCATGGCAACGCTGGAGAGCTTTAAGTTAGAGAAGCCGACTGACATCCAAGCCCTGCAGCCAGAGGAGAGACTAGAAGATCCAGCTGTGTGGCCCCCTCCCATCCCTGCAGAGCACAGGTGTGTGGATGTGTTGGAGCTACGTTTTTAGCTTCATGGATTTTTTTTCTTCTTTTCCTGCGGTCAGTTAAAATAAATAAGTGAAGTTTTGAAAATGTGAGCCAGCAAACATATTTAGCGTTATAGTAAGCATGTCACACTGTGATCTAAAAAGGTTTGGGTTATAATTTTGTTTTAAACTATTCTCCAATCTCACCCATCATTAAACTAAATGCTCAGTGCAGTGTCTTAGCCTCACTTCCTAAATTCTGGAGGAAAAATTTTATTATTCTGAGTCCATTAATATATATAATATATATATATAATACATATAATACCAGGAAAGCTTAGAAAGATTCTTGCAGACTGCTATCTTTTTGTCAGTTCTCTCTTTTGTTCTTTTCATGTTGAGTTTAAAACAACAAAAACACAAAATATGGACTTTTCCCCTTTAACTGCAGATTACAAATGCTTTCTTAGTGACAAACTATATCTGTATTTAACTTACTGTACATCAGTTTTGACAGAGATGATTGTTACTGATGCTACCCAGAAACTCTGTGGAACACAACATCTCCATAAGGAAGCGCTCTTTAAAGTACAAAGAGACATATTTTGCATAATCACTTTCATCTCTACAAGCACAATGTGCCTCTGCAGAAAAGTAGCAGAGCTCGTTTATAACTAATGCTCTAAAGGAACTTTTGGTAAACCGATGGGAACCTGTGGTTGATGGCTCTCTATGTAGGTGTGTCCTATTATTATCACACTATTATCCATTAGTATATTCCTGCGCGTGTGTCTCTGTAGGAATCCTGTTCCAATAAAGCGGCCCAACAGTGGAGTGAAGCAGCAGAGGAAAGAGTCCCCTGGCCTGCAGCATCGAGGGGCAGGGCCGGGAGGCCGTGCTCAGGCCAATGCTAAAGCAGACCGGCCGGGATTCACAAAATGCAAAGATGATAAGGTTCAGACTCCAGCTGTGTCATGGTTTAGTGAACATATTGATAAATAGGAAATGAGTAAGTCTGTGCTCCAAACACATCAGGTTTTTGTTCTGTTTCTTTTCCACCTTTTTGTCTCCATCAGGGAAAGAAAGGGGGAGATGTGCCGGGGGATGAAGGGCATAAGAAGTTTGATGGCACAGGATATGACAGTGACCTAGTGGATTCGCTGGAGAGAGATATTGTGTCCCGTAACCCTAACGTGCACTGGTATGGAAGTATCCTCTGATACTTATATAATACTTCTCAGGTTCTGCAACGAGGACACATTTCAACAGTGCTGCTGGCTAATTACTTTGGTAAACTGCAGGAATGACATTGCTGATTTGGAAGATGCTAAGAAGCTCTTGAGAGAAGCAGTGGTGTTGCCGATGTGGATGCCTGATTTCTTTAAGGGCATTCGCCGCCCTTGGAAGGTACACACACATACACACACACACCTGTGATTTTTCACATATTCTCTACATGCAAACTTTATCTAGTTCCTTACTGGGGGTTTTAAAAAATGAGCGAGTAATTGCAGAAGTATATAAAGATGTTTTTCAGCTGTGAGATACTCACTTTGTTCAGTAGCACACCTACCATTTTGAGTATCTTGCAGCATGTTGCACCAGCTACATCAAAGTTTGAGCGTTAAGGTCAACACCAACTTCTACATCAAGACTAGTTAGCTTCACACTAAATCTAGTACTTTATTCAAGTGCGCCATTTCTGTTGACACTATCACTGTCAACTCAAGTCAGCCTCAGTTCGGTTCTGCAGACTTTTGTTTTATCTTGCTCCTTTCTGTCCACGTGTTTCCAAACGTTCCTGTATAATTTCCTAAAAAAATATCGTCTCATTGTATCTGATCCTGTGAGATTTGGCCTCATGCAGCACATTTCTCTCTCTCACTTGACTAATTAAAATGTCAAACTTATCATTTCTCTTCTAACGTTAACAACTCTGCCGTGGGATAAAAGATTCCACCAACAACTTAACAGTTTCAAGTAAATACAGCATAAAATCACGTTGAAGGCGTTCACAGTCAACATGTGCTTATTTTAAATAAAGACAATAAATAATAATATTTTGGCTCGCCTAACAGTAACATTAACAGTAAATGTTAAACAAGTCGTGCCTGTTCAGAATCAGAAAGTGACGCCTTCCTTTATATTTCTGTCTTGTGTTCATGCATGCAAATTTCCATAAAGTCGAGGTTCAGCGAGTGGAGAGGGAGAGCACGCTAACACAGAGAGCTTGAGAAACATCACAAAAAACCATTAAATAATCAAATAGTTTTCATTTGTGAAAACTTCTGCCTCAAATAAATGACTGATGAGGAAGATGAAGACACATTTTAAGAATAAGAACCAGTCTGCAAATGTCATTTGATAAAATGGAACAACTTGCATATGTAATGTCATTCATATTATCTCTAAACAGGTAACATCTACCAATACACTGCAGAATGCAGTTGGCTAAATTCAGAAAGAGCAGTAAGCTTCGGAGATAGCCTGATCACAAGTAAAATGCGGCAACTAAAATATTTTTACAAAGTCAAAGTCTCCACAGACTCCACAGAGATGGGAGGCTTCTTCTGCATCAGCCTCGTTTAAACTTTCATCATGTGAGACTGCTTCCCCTGAGGCCCAACCATGTGAGGGTTAATACTTTATGGGGGGAGTTATAGCAGCACAATGCTTTTCATTTGTCTTATATAGGCATGCATAATTAAAATTCTTCACTAACTTTAAATAGATGGATAGTCTTTCTTTTTCTTTTTTTAATCACTGAAGGTGAAGTAAAATTAAAGAGCGATAAGTCAGTTGCAGAGGAAAACAGGTCAATGGTTGTTTTCTCAGCACACAGGTGAGTGGAGGTATGTGTTTTGTTAGCACGCACATTTAGGTCTACGCAGTTCCGTTTTGTTCTGTGCTCTGCAGCACGTCTGAGTGTTTCTACTCCTAATGCAGGTGCACATACGCTCCCATCTGCTCCTGCTGAGATTCTGATCAATACCCACCGCAGTACTGTTTTATATTCCGAGTCGCTCGACTCAGTCCTGCAGTCAGCATAAGACACACTAGCCTAAATTGACTGAGGCATAAAAATAAAATTTCTTTAAAATGAAATGGATTATGTCAGCCGTGCTTCCTTTTGTGGTTTCTGTAATCTCCGTAGCAAAAGGCGCCAAGCAGATATAGAAGTGTTAGACGGCGGAGTGGCAGCGATATTAAAAAATGGTTATAGAGGAGATTTAAATCAGGGTTTGACACTTTTGTTTAATATCACAGGCTTTTAAATAACATGCAATTATCCAGTCTCAAACAGGGATTACAGTCTACGGGAAGGCAATCCATTCACATTCAGACTAATATCCTATTCTCACAGGAGCGAGCTTTAGAGGTGCTGGTAAATGGATTTTTTTCTTTTTTTTTTTTTAACATCTGGACTGAGCTAGCCCCCTCCCCCCCCAAATCTCCTGTGTGCTCAACTATCGTAATGTTTAACTTGGTATCGATCTTCTCATGTGAGTCTTGACAAGGCAGCCATTAAGTCTATTTCCCAGGAAGTTCTTAAAAGGAATGTGGGAGCCGCATACTGATATAACAACTGTTAATGGTCGTAGTGAACTGAATACTGATCTTCTGTGTTTGCAGCCTGATCCTTTCTCTGTGTGTGCGTGTTCATTTGTTTACTTGTCTAATGTTTTAAGATTGTGTGACATTTTGCTTTTTAGGGTGTATTAATGGTCGGCCCTCCAGGTACGGGGAAAACCATGTTAGCTAAAGCCGTGGCCACAGAATGTGGGACCACTTTCTTCAACGTGTCCTCCTCCACGTTGACCTCCAAATACAGGGGCGAGTCGGAAAAACTTGTCCGTCTGCTGTTTGAAATGGTGAGCGTGTGTGGAAATAAGCATTTGGGCCTATGGGCAAAATGCTGAACCCTTGCATTTTATCTCCTTCCCTGTGAGTGTGCGTGTATGTTTTTTGAATGGGTGAATCAAAGTGAAATTACGAAGCACTTTGGATAAAAGCAGCACAGAAGAATGCGGCCGCTTCCTATTTACATGTGTGTGCACTGCAGCGGAAAGGAAACTCACAATGCGAAACTTCTTCCTTCTCAGGCCCGATTTTATGCGCCAACGACCATCTTTATAGACGAGATCGACTCCATCTGTGGCAGGAGAGGAACATCTGATGAACACGAAGCCAGCCGCAGGGTCAAATCTGAACTTCTTATTCAGATGGATGGTTAGTGGATTAGAGAAATGGGTGAAGCTGTGCGCGGCTTGCTGTTACAGTTAATCAAGGATATTGCAAAAATTTGAATTAGAAGCAAACGGGACAGGTGTCATAATGCATTTGTCCCTTTGGCGCCTCATTACAGCTAAATGACTTTTTGAGATACTTTGAAACTGAATGTGTTGCGTAAACAAGCTGAAAATTTTGTTTTGTTGTTTTTTTTTTGCGAGCAGGTGTTGGGGGAGCCCTGGAGGGTGACGACCCCTCTAAGATGGTGATGGTCCTGGCTGCCACAAACTTCCCTTGGGACATTGATGAAGCTTTGCGACGACGGCTGGAAAAGCGGATCTACATCCCTCTGCCCTCAGGTGACCTCACCAGGCACAGACTGACAGCACAGAAACTAAGATGACTGATGACTTTGTAACACCGTGGACTTCTAATTAGGGCTGGGCCATATTATACCGTTCACGGTAATACCGGTATAATGTTAGGCAACGATAGGAAAATGAAATATCGCGATAGAATGGGAGTAAAACGCGCATGCGCAGTGCCTTTGTTTTCATACGCACATGGCCGATTGTTGAGTGAAACAGATGAACCAGAATTGGTTTGTAAAAATGGTGCAACTTCAGTGATGTGGAACTGGTTTGGTGTTTGTCCGTTAGATACACAACAAAGCACATTTTTTTGCAGAACATGCAAGCGGCCGTCGTTATTGTCATATTTGTCGGACTAAGATGCTCTTAAATCTGGGAGTAATCTGGGTCCTAAACTCAGTATGCTTCAGGTCAAACAACACTGCAGCATCACTGAGAGTTAAAAACTGTCTAAATTCTTTCATCTTTAATAAAACGATCAGCATTGCTGCTTTACCAGGTGTAACTATAAAGTTTAACTTCCAGGCATCCATGAAAACAAAAGTTATTACATTTAACGGAGTTAGAAGTTAGCAGGAAGCTAGCGGAAGTTAGCTCGCTAGTTTCGCTAGTTACCTAAGCATGATATAGCATGTTCTGACTGAGAGATTTCTGAAAAAAATCAAACGTACAGCTCTGCTATCACTTCCAACATAAATGAAGACAGGAAACTAAACAGCAGTGACGTTTGTAGGGTTACTGAAGTTGGGCTAGCTGGTATATAATGATGTGCTACGTGATCGCTAGCGACACAGCTATGTTAGCATAACATAAACAGTGGAGCTGGAGGACGAACACTAACACTTTTCCACTTATAAAAGTTAACGTGAAGGTTCTTCATGGTTCATGGCAGGATACTGTAAACGGACCAAACTTCAGTCAGGAGAACAACTGAGATAATCCATCCACAATACGAGGTTAGTCATTAATATACTGCAACAACATGGGAATAGAGCAGCTGCCAGAGAATTCAACATTAATGAATCAATGGTACAGAAGTGGAGGAAGCAAGAAGAATGAGTTTAATAAAGTTTGATTTATCTGACTGCTTTGTTTCGCTTAATGTGCCTTATAATCCCGTGCACCTTATGGTCCGAAAAATGCGTACTGCACACTGCAGTTTAATGTTGCAAAGCACCTCTTTTTAACTTCAGTGGATATTATACATGGTTATGCTCAGGATATGTCAGCCCATTTCTACTGGAAATGCCTTTTGGTTAAACTTTCAGCAAGGAATTTGCATTTGCACTGTTAAATTTTTATAAAGCTTTAATGTACATAAAAACCAGCTTCTTGTTTAAGTGAAAATAAATGGAAGGTTGTCTTTTTGCGCTAGTAATGTTGTGGAGTTGTATTTTGTCTCGCATCAATTATATCGTCGGTTATATCGTTATCGCAAATTTTCAAATATATATCGTGATAAATATTTTTGGCCATATCGCCCTGCTCTACTTCTAATCATTGTTTTATGTGCCTCTCTAATGCTTTTCATTCCCATTTCTCCTTAACTGGTTTTCAGATGCATTGCCCTTAAATTAAAACAATTTTTGTGTGTATTTGGATGTAGCTGTTGGTCGTGTCGAGCTTCTAAGGATCAACCTGAGAGAGGTGGATTTGGCTACAGACGTAAATCTGGACCTCATTGCTGAGAAGATCGAGGGCTACTCTGGAGCAGACATCACCAACGTCTGCAGGTGTGCATGGTTTAGAAACTGATTATCAGTTTATGTTTCATGTTTTATATACAGAACACAGTAAAGCAAATGCTGCTTTGTGTTCTTTGTTTCAATATGCTCGTACCTAAACTATTAAAAGATTGTTATCACTGTATGTTACTGTTGGGGTAGCATGTAATAAGTGGTGAGATGGCAAACTGTTGCTGTGGAGCTAAAAGCTTCTGATTGGCTCTGGGTCTTTAGCAGAGTTCCCAATTTGCGAGTGCTGTGTAAAACTAGACTTTGACTGATTTTATATTCTCCTAATTCACTTTATCCAGAGTGGCTTACGAATGCTGCTGTGCAATTTATCTTTTTTAAAAGCCTGAAGCAAGAGTAGTGCTGCTTCCTCAGTGATCGTCCTGCTAGCACACTGGAAGCTCAGGCTTTTTCCTCTCTGTTTTTCACAAGTACTGCCACAAAGCAGTTTTCGTGCTCAGCAGCCTCAACCTTACAGAGCTTTTGGAAAAACTCCTTCCGGGGTAGGGATTTTACCTTGCAATTTGAAAGGTGTGGGCCTTTATGTCTCTTCTTCTTGGTCAGTGGACAGTTAGGGTTATATCGCCACCTATTGCTTTGTCATGTTTTGTGGCCTGCACCTGCATGTAGACTAAATTTAAGTTACAAATCGTTGTCTTTTTAGTAAACCTCCAATTTTTGAATCACTGTGGTACTTTAATCTGGCCCTGAGAAAAAATAATTTTATCTAATTCATAACTGCAATGCCTTCTTTTAGTACCTTTCCATATAAATACCAATCAACTCAGGAACACAGGCTGCTAGTAATTTGCTTCATCTCTACCTAAATGTATAACTCTGTTATTACTTGCTAAATAAGCAAATTATGCAAAGAGTAACTGCACACACGATAATGATAATTTGACTGTCAGATCATGAGGTCACGTCGTCCCTGTTGTGTTTTTATCAGCTCTGTCTCTTCAAACACGCAGCACTGTTTTGATTGTAGTGCAGTGTAGCAGTTTTTTTTAGTGTAAGACTTTTATCCTCATTGTCCTGTCCTTGATGTGGGGATCCTTTCTGCTGTAGCACTGCCAGGAATGGCAGGCATTTCATGCATCCAAAGCTGTCTCTGCTCATCTCTCCCTCACATTGTTTCATTGACCTTGGATGCATGCTCATTGTCCAACATACAGCGTAGCCTGCAGGATTTCATCACAGCTCAGGTACAATCCTTTCTGACAGGGCTAAAACACAGCAAATGTGTAATTTAAAACAGTGCAATTATGTTTGGCGTGCCAAGACTAACTGTCTTCTGTCTGCCTCTGTCCACTCCCTGCTTGTTTCTTTACACATACGTCAGGGACGCCTCCATGATGGCGATGCGTCGTCGAATCCAAGGCCTGAGCCCCGAGGAGATCCGAGCTCTGTCCAAAGAAGAGCTGCAGATGCCCGTGACCATGGAGGACTTCACACTGACACTCAAGAAGATCTCAAAGTCTGTTTCTGCTGCAGACCTGGAAAAATACGAAGCCTGGATGGCTGAGTTCGGGTCAGTATAGAGATCGGTGGTGATTAGAGCCAGAGGGGCGAAAACCGTGAGAGGAGGACTGATACCTTTGAAAATATTTAAGGCCTTGAAAAGCAGCAGTGGAGTGAGCGCTTGTATTTCAACAAGTCAGCACATCAGGGATCAGAAAGACTGGTGCCTTTTAGGGAACATGAAAAAGGTGGCTTCACCCCTGCAATTTCACTTGCTGTCCAGAACTGTGTTTGTAGAGATGTCAGTCATCCAGCCCACTCAGGTGACCCGATGAAGGCTGGGTAAACCTCTCACACTGGGAACTTTTATGTAAACTACCAGCTTAATACACACAGGGAATGTGCATAAGGTTTTATACATGAGACCTCATGCAAGAACAGTTTTACACTGCAGAGCTTTCAAGTCCAGCATCTAAGAACACCGTTTGAAACCGTGTACAGCTGTTTTCACACAAGACTCCCTGGAAAAAGTCGAGGGAATTAGATCTGAAAATTATCCATAGTTGTTCTTTCCTACATGTGGCACACAGCAGGAAACAGTTACCAGTTAGATTTGCTGTAGGTGAGGGGGCCATCTGAATAAGGCAGGAGGCAAGACACAAAATGTGTGAATACACCAGACGAACATTTAGCTGCGCTATTCTCACATTAGTGCGGGCTGATTTCACACAGGCTTGAGCGGGCAGGTTAAAACTGTCTCCGATCACATGCGCCTCTGTGAAGTAATGTCTGGAATAATTCAAGGTGTGAAAACAGCTAAACGAGTTAGATATCCTATCAGACACACGTTGCACCCGGACAGTGACTTGCAAATAGGTCACCGTCTTACAGAAATATTGGTGAAATTACTGCAGCACAGCAGGCAACATTAAAGAAAATGTCTTTCAAATTAACAAAAAATCTCTATATAAAGTGCACGAGTGGACCTCTCATGAATTTCATTTCAGAATGTGAGAAGTTCTCTTAAATCTGTCACTTAGGGACAAATCTGTTCTTGCACGAGGCCCCCGTGTCATAAAAAACTTCTTGAGGAGCTCATGTATTTATTGCTGACTGAACAAACTTGAACTGAACCTCAATATTGTGGTAGGTTTAGAATAAAGTGTTGCACTGGCACACGGCGCAATATCTTTGTGTCTTTTGACTGAGTGATTGTCTGTTCTGTTAAGTTTTATGTTGTGTTGTTGGTTTTAATATCTGTTTTTAATTAATGTTATGTTTCAATGAGAAAAGCATATGTAGTCATACTTTTTGAAAAGAGGACATGAGCACTGGAACCATGAATTATTTTTTCTGTTTGTTTATTTGTTTGTTTTTAGTTAAATTAAAGAAAATACTTACCTCACCAAAAATCCTTGACTTCTGTTTTTAATGTAAACACTTAAACTTAGACAGGTTATGTCTTGTAGAATAGAAGGGACACTCAAAAAAGGCAAACATGAAGCAATTATTTGACATTTGAAATGTTTGGGGTTTTTTTTAAGTTTATTAATTCAAATATTTAATCATTAAGGAAAATATGCTTTGTATGAACCAAATAGATACCAAGCAAGTAAATTCCATTTGATCAATTTCAAGTTAATGTCATGTTTTATACTGTACTTGTATAACAAAATTACATGAGGAAAAAAACAGAATTTTTTTTTTTTGAGTGCAGATGGTATGTTTATATTTTCCTTTTTGTTTTTATATGTAATTCTATACCGGCTATTCTTGGAAATGCTGCTGCTAGTCACACAAAAAAGAAAGAAAGAAAGTCCTCTTACGTTTTCTTTCTCCAGAAAAAGCTGCATCACACTATTGGCTGAACAGAGATGGATCTGTTGGCATTTGAGCCAAAAGTTGAGGTGTCTTCGGAAAACTCTGTAAAGCTCCTGTGCAGGTTAAAAAGGCATGACAGCAGGTGTGATGTTAATGCAGCAAAGTGTAGATTAGTCTGTGTATTGGGTTAGAGATGGTACATCAGCCTGTTTACTACACTTAATACACTATGACCACCGTACGATTTGTATGAGCTGTAAGATTTTCTAAGATGCTGGCTTTTGTTCTTCTGTTTTTCCTGTGTAGTGCTCAGGCGCTAATAGGTTTTTCTAGGCCAACAGATGTGCATTTGATGTCTGAAATGTCTTTTATTCAGACATCACACAAATTGGTTCAAAGCGCAGTCCTAGCCCTGACTGTTTGTTCTCCGATAAATGTTAAACAGATTTTATTGCAGGTGGATTTATTGTCAAACGGCGTCTGTATGCTCGAATTTTCCAACTGCTGAAATGTACTGGAAGCTAATTAGAAAAGACTGGTCAAACGGAAAGAAAAAGGAGATTACTGTGCCTCTGCACTCTGACAACAACACTCTGACAACCTCGAGATAAAAACCTTCACAAAAGTGCAAGGATGGCCTTGACTAGACTTTTGAGTGACCTCACAAAACATGTTTTTTGCCACAAGCACAAACTAATTATGAAACAGTTTCACACAGAAATGAAGAAGCAGTGTCATTCTATACAAAAAAACTAAACAAAACCTCATCAGTAGGGCTGTTCATATAACGATATCTTTCATTTTACACTATCGTTTGTTTCGTGGTGTCGCAAAATAAACTGTTTACGGCAATATTTTTTCATTTGATGGTCACTGTAGTGGCTATATTAATTTCTTAAAGTTCTCTCTTTCTCTTATATTTAATATAACCACACTACAGACGGACAACCGCCTGTTTTTATGCGTTGTGGTTAGCAACAACGACGGTAACACCATCGCGTGTCCGCTTGTTTATTTTCCACATAAACCTTTCACAATAAAGCTCAAGATCCTGTTGAGACTTTTCAAAATAAACTGAATCACGTGAAAGAGCAGATTATTTACGGATGAGAAGTAAAAAAGAGCCGCCAGGTGCTAAAAAATAAACCTTAGACTCAAACAACAGCTTTTCCCCGCAGCACGCCGTGTAATAAATACAAAGAAAACGGCGGCTGGTACAACTTGTGTTTAAAAATGTATAGTTTCATGCATCAGTTAAAACACTGGACTCCAGCTACATGACGCGCAGATGGAAACACTTCCCGCAAGTCGAGCTGTCTGACATTCACAGAATTTACAGAAAATGTTAAATTTTTGTGATTTATATCGGGATATGAGATTTTGGTCATATCGCACAGCCCTACTAATCAGATACTAAAATCTCGACAGTAGTCTTCGGTCCCCACTCTGAAGGTGGGTTGACCGTATATGTTGTATTAGAGTCTAAATCCCAGATTTTATCTGCATTGTGCCAACATTGCTATTTATTTTTGCATGATATGACATATCCTTCTTTACAACAATACATAACTCTATAAAGGTTTTCAAACTCTTGTATATGGAAATTTTTAGTAACATTCACTTGCTTGCCAGTTAATTGTGTGCATCTATATTTATCTGAAAGGACTGTACCCATACTGCTGGAGAGCTCACTGAAGGTATCTGTTTAATATATGATTACACAAAAGTAGTTTTTTTTCCAATATTTCCACACTATATATATAGTACTGTGCAAGAATCTTGAGACATGCCTCGTGTCATTATATTTTGCCAGAAAAATTGTCAGTTGGTAAAGTGATGTTTTGAAACGTGCAGACATACATGGTAGTAAAGAACATAAGGTAAGAACAGAGTTTTTACAATATTTGGTGTGACCACCTTTATTTCTATGACACTGCTGAACTCATTGAAGCAAGCTCCTGTAGGAGTCTATAGGAATAGTTCTCCAGGCTTTTTGAAGCTCTTCTTTGGATGTTGCCTGCCTTTTTTTCTGTCTTCTGTCGAGATGATCCCACACTGCTTCAACAATGTTGAAATCCAGGGTCTGGGGAGACCAATCCATGGCTGATAGTGTTCCACTGTGTGTTTTTCTATCCAAGGGATGCTTTTCATTGGCAGTGTGTTGCTGAAAAATGAAGCTATTGCGAATTAGATCCTTTCCCCGGATGGTATTGGATGTGTGATCAAAACCTCATGGTACTTTTTTGTGTTCATAATTCAATTAATTTTGACAAGATCTCCAACACCAGTGGCTGAAAACTCTAATTTTTACTAAGTTTTTCTGCCAGAGTGCTCAAAATGTTAGCTTTCATAATCAACCATGGCCATTTTAATAATCAATAAAATATTGTTTTAGTGATGTGTTTTCTTGTAGTTCACAACCACATTCTTGCATGTGTCTTTCAGTATCTTAGGCCATTCCTTTTTCAGCATAGGCCACTCAAGAACCTTCATATGATTATTGGTGAACTATTTCTGGATAGCTTTGGCCTTGTGTCTGGGATACAGTTACACGTAAACCCAAACAAGAGGCCGATTGTTTTATGTTCTCATCAAGGTTCAAGAATCTAGCTCACACTTTTTGTGATCCTGTGCCTGTACTAAAGGAAGCAAAATTGAATTGCATGCACTCCTGTCCTCCTCTATATAAAGACTGCTACCATGTGGCCAAACAGCTCGAGTTTTGTTTTGCCAGATCACAAACTGGATGACTAGAAAGCTTCACTCTTCTCTAAGCGCTGCTTTCCAAAAGCTAAACAGGTACACTGCAGCTTCTTTCTGGTTCAGGCTGACAAGTTCTCCAAGATGGCCTTGAAGGTCATTCTTAGATTACTGCTGACTTGAACAACCTTTTTGGACCAAGGCTGAGGACACTTTGGGATTACAACCTTGACATAGTTGGAGTGCTCTTGAACTTCTTTATGAAGGAATACGCAGTGGTCTTGTGAACTTGGAATCCCTTTCTAATAGCCTTCTAGCTTTGAGTGACCCACTGAGGTTCTTCACCTCAGATAACATACCATTTAGTATTTGTTTTGCAGTGGGGGCTTGTACTGCTGTTAAAGCCCCACAGACGATTTGGAAAAACTAAAAATCTAAGGGTTCGGGCAGGTGAGTAAGTGACGGACAAGGTAAGCGACTCATGTTGTAACTGACGTCAGACGCCGGAGATTTTGGCGGAAAATTAAAGCAAATGGTAGTTTAGATTTGAACAAATTCATTTAAGCTTCAGCATTACCAAATACACTTATCAATTGTCTTATAACTAACACTATTTGTCTAAATAATCTCCAACACCCTGGAGAACAACGAGGAGAGTTTAGAGACTCTCCAAGATTACATCGATCAGTGCTTTCAGGATCTCGTGATGAAGAAGACCCAGTGTGCAGCTTCTCCGGCCAAAGCTGAGACGCCGTCGTCGAAAAGACAACGCCCGGCAGATTCCCCCGGCTCAACATCGCCAGCCGGCAAAGATATTGCCGACATATTGGAGTCAATCGACAAGCGATTGTCCAGTTTCGACGCAAGGCTGTCCTTGGTGGAGATTCTTCACCGAGAATTTAAATGCTTGCGAGAATCCCTGGAGTACAGCCAGCAGCAGGTGGAAACGCTTGCTGCTGAAAATGCCACGCTAAGGGAGTCGGTGAAATGTCTCACAGATAATGTTACCCAGCTCAATAGAGAAAATAAAAAATAAAAGAAACAGTTATCGATCTACAAGCTCGTAGCATGCGTGATAATCTGGTATTTTCTGGTATTCCAGAAGCCGCTGGAGAGGACGCGGAGACCACGGTAAAAAGCTTCATCAAAACCCACCTGAAGCTGCCGGAGGACACTGTGAAGAACATCGTCTTCGATCGGGTACATCGCCTCGGCCCCATTCGGGCTACGGCCGGGAGACCACGTCCTATCGTGGCCAAATTCGGCCACTTCAAACAAAAGCAACATGTGAAAAGCCGCGGCAGGGAATTAAAAGGAACGGACTTCAGCGTGAACGACCAGTTCCCCAAAGAGATCTTGGAACGACGCAGGGTCCTCTTCCCAATCCGACGCGGCTTCATCCAGAAGGGCTCCCGCGCTGTCATCGCTGTGGACCGGCTGTACGTGGACGGACAGCTCCACCGCGACCCCAACATCACTCCGTGGCTGTATTAACCTCACACCAGATAAGAATCAGCTACACCATTTCCCTATCCACTCACACTAACTTGCATTAACATCTGTTTAACTTACCAGTATCAAATCGCATCTTAAAGTGTGATTTCATAGCAGAATTAACACCGTCACTCTCCGTCAGTGATTTAATTGGAATGTTT